GCGGTCCGCGCTGGTGTGAAGGGAAGGACCCCGCGGCGGCGCAGCAGCGGCTCCGAGGCACGCAGACCTCATCGCGCGCTCCACAATTACAGCCCCAGCTTTGTTTGCCAAAAGCGTGGAATTTGCGCGACAAAGGCTGCGCGCGCGGGACGATAAAATGAGCTGCTGCTGCGGCTGCAGCGGCGGTGGTGCTGGCGCTGGTGTGTATGGCCCCGGGGCGGGGTGGGTGCGGGTGAGGCGGGGGGTGCGCGACGGGCAGTGATCACGGCGCTAACACAATTACGTGGGTGTTGCGGCGGCCGCCGGGCCAGGGCTGTGTACGAGGGATAGGCTCGAGCAAAGCTCGAACATTGCGCCGTGTGCTCGCGCGCTGCTCGCGCACTGCCTCGCCCTCGCCCGCGCGCACACATTTCGCGCGGCCAGCACGGGGCCAGCAAATTATGGCGATGCAACGCGCGAGCGGGTCCCGTGTGTAACTCATGCGGGTGGCGTTACGTATCCAGGGGCTCGCTGTCGTTACTCAAACATTTTAGCTTCTCGCATGTCTTTATTTTTGTTTCGCCGCGGCACGCCAAAAATATCTGGTTTTGGGGTGTGGTTTTTGTTTGTTTGCTGCTGACGCGGGTAGGGTGAGGGGATGAATGTACTTTTCAGGGTGGGCGAAGAAAAGAATTTGTTTGAAAGAGCCACCACTTTTCCGCTGTCGTTGAACAATTTAACTCGATAGCGCGCGCCCCGCCACCGTCCTGTTCCGCCCCCCACTCCTTTCCCCCGCGGCGGTGGCGGCGGCGGCCGGGGTTCCCGGGAAAGTTGCCCGCCCGTCCCCTTCCGACGGGCGGCTAATTAATCAACATCGCGAAAGGGTTTCGGCTCGGCCGGCCGGTCTGGTGGCTCCGCGGCTCCGGGGCTAAAGGCAGCTCCGGGGCCTCGGCAAGCCTCTGCAGCCGCAGGACCGTTTTAGGCGGCCGGCCCTGGCGAGATGAGTGTGTTTCCGAGCGGGGGGGCCGCCGATGGTCCCGGGCACCGAGCTGGGGGTTAGTTAGGCTTAAAGACCCTCGCCAGTAACGTATCGAGCACTGTGTCCCCCCCTCTTCGAGATGATATACGCCTCCGGCTTGCCAGCCGATCCCCCCTTTACGACCAGTAAACACTCGGCCCCCTATCTGGCCGGCGCGGGCTCGGGCTGGGCGCGGGGACCCGGAGCCTCTCCTACTTCTCCGCGGGCTGGGAATGGCCTCGAACGGCCGCGCGCACTGCGACCCGCGTCCGTCGTGGCATATATCGACACCTTGCTGAGTGGTCACAGCTAAAAGGGGCGGGCACATCCAAGCACCTACCCCACCCGCTCCGCCCTCGCCGCTCCTCCTCAAACCCCGCCGCTACGCAAGCTAGGGCCAATATCGTCTGCTTTATGGACCCCCAGCGGGGCCCGGCACCGCAGCCTTTATCTACCCCCTGCTTACCCCCTATAGCCTCTCCTTACCCCCACCCCCATCTGTTGTTTATACCGTCCATATTTCAAAAGCGCATTATATCTATACACCAAGAAAAACCGTTTCGCGATTCAAGTAACGTACAGTACACAACCTGCGCCAATTCGAATGAAAACCAATTTGCACTCGTGCTGAGAACATTAGGCCCGAACAAAACACGTATCGATTTGTTGTACTTTTTTACGAGCGCTGAATGGTTTCGAATGCAAATTTTTCTAAATTAATCTTCATCTAATTCAAACATTTCTCAAGGACAAGGTTTTGAAAACTGCCTTTTGTGCGGGTGCAAACGGCTATGGTCCGCCCCCTCATACTCACAGTTGATGTTGAGCTGAACCCTCCGGCTGACGGCGGGCGGCACCTCGTTGGACGCGATGCACAGGAAGGCGCCCATCATCTGGCGGTCCGTCTTCCAGAACGTGAGGCTCGTCGAGTTGACGCTGGACACTGCAAGAGAAAAGAGACAAAAAAGGGATGAGTGTGGTGTTGGAAGAGAAGAAAGGGCGCTCGCTGTGGTCCTTTCGTTCGTCCTTGTGAACGGCTCGGCTCATCAAGTCCAGCCGGGGCTTGGATAGTCGAGGGGGGAAGGGGAAGGGGGTCTTGTTTGAGAAGACGGTGGGAGGATCACGCGACAGAGCCAACTCAAACACGCGGGAAAGGGAAAAGGGGGCGGGAGGGGGGCTGCCGCCCTGATTACATATCACTCTAAGCCTTCAAGTTGGGTGCTGCTAAGCAGCAGTGCAGGCACGAGTAGGTAAGCCTCGGCGGACGGCGGTGCGCGCCCGCCCGGAAACACGACAACTTGACAAACAATGAGAGAGGCAAAGCGTGTGACGACATTCCCGCTCCTACAAGTGCGCGACAATGTACCATGAGCAGCATGTGAAAGGTGTCAACTCTTATGCTTCCTTTCAGCGCACTCCAACGGCACACACTTGAACGTGTGTGTACCATGAAAAATAGTGGTAGATTTACGGGAAACTTTACCTTAGTGTACGTCATAGAATTATAATTCAAAATGGTAAATTTACAGGCACTTCGTATAGACTTGGAATTGATCGACAAGCGAAAATGGGCTATATCGCAAATTTACAGCATATGTAAATGAAAATTACAGCAAATGTTATAGATTTACGAGTATATTTTTCACACTGTGTGTGGGGGAAGCTGCGGAGCAGCCAGTGCCGCCATACGGCAGCACTGACACGTCACGTCACAATTCTTAAGTGCAGCACGGCGGGACCGTTTAAAAATGCGCGGCAGCGCAGATAAAGAGGAGCGCAGAACAACTAACTGCATCATTATTGGCGCGCGGGTCGGGCGGGCGTCAGACGGAGGGAGTTATCGATCGTCGTCGCGAGTCACGCCCGGCACGAACGAGCTTTAAGTGCTGCCTGTTACGGTTTTGTAATTGAGTTGCAAGGAGGAAGCGAACGTCAAACGGGAGGAGCCGGGAGGGCCAGCCCGCTCATCTGGCAGGGCCTTGCCCTTGCCGGTTGCCCGTCTCCGTGCCCGTGCCAGCTCCCCCTCCCCCCTTTTCTTTTAAAAATAAACACTTACTTAGGACTTGCAATGAAATAATTTAAACTGCAACCGAACGCAAGGTAATGCTTTTCATACCCCAAAACGCATGGAACAAACAGTACAACTTAAATTTGCCATTTCGTTTCGGTAGACGAAAGCCGAAGTGTCACTGAAGGGCACGCCAAAATTAGGGGGGGGGGATAGAATTACTTATGCGTGTCAATCTAAAGTAAGGTCATGTGCCAGCAGTTCGGGGATTTAGCAGGGGGGTGAATAAATTCTAAGTTCTCTGCACTGTTAAAAGCTTACAGTTATTTTCACCGTAAGCTACAGTGAAAGCCTACAGCACTGTAGCTTTTAACATTGCGCGACGCACGCAGAGCTTCGTTTTTATCCTATTTACAATCACGAGCGTAATAATTCATCACTTGCTGCCATCATGTGAGTCGTCGTGCCATACTGGGGCTCTTAAATCCGTTCCGCAGCACACATGAAAGCCTCCATGTGTTTGTTTTTTGTAGTTATTGTTTTTTTTGCACCGTTTTCCAAATGAACTTGACCCACGTTTCTGTATTTTCGACTGGAAGCAGCGCAGGCGCCGCGACACGCCTCTCTCTGCGCTGAAAGATGCAGTGGAGCAGCCCACAGTTATATTGGCGCGGAGTGGAAATGCAAACAGGCGCGCCCGGCCCGGAAGACAAAGCGGACAGAGAGAGAGAGAGAGAGAGAGAGAGGAGGGGTAGGGGGGGACAAAGAGAGAGAAAGACCGGAGCCAGCAGACAGGCCCTGCTGCTTGCGGCAAGGCGTGGTAGCGACCGTCCACGGCCGCTTAAATAAAGCAGGAAATGAACAAGTGCGGGGATCTCTGTTGGCAAGGCGGGAGAGATGAGAGCGAGCGAGCGAGAGAGAGAGAGAGTGAGAGAGAGAGA